CTTGTACCCATCACGCTTCCTTAGTAAGCATCATTTCATGGTTTATTACAGCTGTATCTTCACCCATTCTCAAGCCAAATTATTTTGAAGCAATATATCCAGATATAACACAGACATCATGACTACAAATTACTTTTGTACAAATGGAAAAAAGAAGTTTAACCTCACTCATAAGAAGAAAAATGCAAACCGAAACCACCTTGGAAATGTCATTTTTCACCTCTCAGACTGGCAAAGATAAAAGGATTTGATAATACAATCTGTTGGCAAGGGAATATAGGAACTCTCGAACATTATCCGTGACATGAAAAATTAGTATCGTCTCTGAGAAAAGCACACTTGGCAATAATCAAAATTTAATCAACCACAGAGGTCAGCACATACTGGGAAAACGGCATGTCGAGAATCTGGCTGCTTTCCTTCTCACACCTTAGATGTCAATGTCATGCTAACTGACCAACTGGAAGAACAACTTGTAGGTGCTATCAACTGAACCAAGCTTGACAACTACAACCAGTATGAAGCAACAATAAAAGCTGCCCCACTTTATTACTTTTTTAAAAAAAAAAAAGCTCCTAAAGCCCAGCTACCTAAATTAGATAAGGTAACCGACCCATGGTTAAATGCTTTCGTGGCACTCTCTGCTCATCCTCTGCGGCAACTGGAATAACATAGTTATATGAGGGTTCTTTAATCAATGCCTTTCTTCTCCTTCAAATTCCATGAGGACAGAGACCACGTCTGATTTGTTGAGCATTTTAGCCCAATGTCTGGTCCACGGCAGATATTCAATACATGTGGAATTCATTCTTGCATTCAACAAATATTTATTATGGGTCAGGTGGGCACTGTGCTGGATTCTGGATACAGTGCTGAACACCTTATCTCCAGAGAGAATGAGAGTTCTCCTCTTCCATTCTTGGGGCAGTCAAAAAATAACCAAACACACACAGATATACACATAGATCATAAAAAGAAACTTCATGAACACAATGTCCACTTGGTCTAAAAACAGGTATTACATTTTTTCCATACTAAAATTTAGTTTGGGGAACACTCATACCCCCAGCAGGCATTTTCGTTTCTAATGATTTCTTTTGATTAAAATAACTTGAATAATTTAAATTAATTTTTAAATAATTTATTTTTCACTATAATTTAATATAAGTTATAAAATAGAGGGGGGAAAGAAACAAAACCTACAACCATACTACGCAAACACAACTACTTTCAGCATTAAAGTATATTTCTTTCCCATGTTTTCCATGAATTTTTTCAACATCACAGCAAGCACAAAACATGTATGGTTCTCTGCTTTTCATATCTGACATTTAATCTTCCTTCTTCATAATAGAGGTCAACGAACATTTCAAAATGGTCTCCTTCTAAAAGGAGGAAAGGCCTCCCTGGTAGTCATGGCTCCAACTCACTCAATCCTTTTTAAGACCAAGTCTTCTACCAAAGTGGAGCAGAACTCTAGCATCACCCCGTCAATTAATTTTCGCCTTCACATTTAAACAGGCCTATTTTCAAATAGATGGAATAGTTGCCTCACACATGCCAATCATTCTCTTTTTCCACATTCTTCTCTCTTCCATATTCTTGACAAGATACTGCATCTTTGAGAAGAATGCTTTTTCTTCCATCTCTTCCTTGTGCTTTTCCTATTTGTTAAATATTACAGAACTTCTTCCAGCTTCTTTGAAATAAAAATAACACAAAAATACTCATGAGCTAGATTTTGGGAAAGAATCAACAATTAGGCAGCAGGAGTTGAAGAAATTGGTTCTGAAAAGCAGAGGCTGCAGGCCACGTTCACCATCTGAAGCTGAAGACACTGCCTGTCTTTTCTGGGGAAATAATGGGTAGCAGGTGGTTCTGGTAAATTAGCAAGTCACATGTTGCCCTAATGTTTATCAAGTTGGCAATAATAGAAGTTGAATATTTTCCTTTAGTAGAAAGTGGAGGTTTAAAGACACCAATAGATTATGAATTAATGGAAAAGACAAAATATTTCTCCTATAAATAGACAACAGATAGTTTGGGAGATCAAAAACAAAATAAAATAAAATAATAAGTAGGTCACCAAAGTGATTTTTAAAAACTGGCTGGGAACGTATCCTGGCTCTGTAGGAATTGAAAGCAAGACAGAATTCACTAGCCTGGTTCCTTCTACATTTCTAGCAAAACAGCACACAACATTAATTCTCTTTACATAAAGACAAATGAAAATAGGCCCGCAATGCATCGCAACCAGAATATATTTAATAAGATGATGTTGAACAATGAAACTTTTAGGGAAAGTTACAGTACCAGTATCTTGTCTCAGAATAGCTAATGTTTTGAAACAGGCTATTTCTTCGGAGGGTGAGGGAGAAAGTATGCAATATTTCCTTCCACCTATGCTCCAACTTTCTTTAAGAAAAACAACAAATTCTTATACTTTTAGTCATAGGGTTCCTTGGTGGTAAAAATAATAATAATAATGCCAAGCATTGTGATTCTGCTTCTCCATGAAATATTATAAATGCCACTAACACCTTCCTAAGTGAAATTCAAAGCACACATAGCACCACACAAGCTTCAAGGGATAATTCGACAATATCTTTTCTAAAATTCCAATCATCTAGAAGCAACAATGCTGATCATTTTTTAATGGTTGTGATTAATTCAAGGGAATTAATTCTTGAGGAGTTTTAAAGCATTTGATAGCACACAACCACCAGACACTAGCTCAAAATTATCCGTCATTTGGAACCTGAGCCCTTTGAAATAATTTTTCAGGAATTTAATCTTTGATCCTCTAACAAAGTGGTTTATCCCAATTATTTGCTTTCTCTGTCCTATTTTTATCTCATAATAAAGGATGTAGGCCACAAATTTTGGATTTGTATGTTTTAAAATGGGATAATGTTAAGGACATGTAACCAAGGCAAACAGCTTGCTAGCTTATTAGTGTTCAATATATCCTGCCTGCAAAAGCTTTTTAAAATATAGGAAAAAAAAAAACAAAACTTAAAGGGGAAAAAAAATCTGCAGTTGACTCATTCCTCATAGAGAAACATTTAGCATTTCCTGGGGCAGTGTGCTGAACTTCCACTTCTAGTGCTGTAATTTCCACTCATGAATTCTGGAAGGGGCTTAGGCAATGGAAAAGGAAGAGGTCAAAATCCTATGAAAGACACGGTGCTTTTAAGGGTACTGTAATGAGATCTGCAGAAAAGTTATTGATCTGTGCCCTTTTGTTTTATTTCCAATATATACTATAGTAATGTTATTTCCCTATGAAAGTTCAGGGTGTTCATCTAGGGATTTGCAGCAACAAGGCAAATAGCAAACCAGAATTTTAGAGTATTTATTAGTAAGGAGTCAAAAGGTCTTCACAGAAATCCAGGCACCAGGCAGAGAAAGAAGAAAAGCAAAGTTCAAAGAATCACTCCCCAGCTTCTCTGGATCACGATGTGAGTGATCAAAGAACAGGAGAGTTGAGGAAGAAACCAATAATAAATAAACCTGTGTATTCACACACACACACACACACGCATACATGCATGTACTTACTGATGCTACTCTACTAAGCGCCACAACCTTCTAACCTCACATAAAGCAAGCAACCCTGTAAGACAGGTATTATTTCCTGCAGACTACAAAACAGGGATACAAAGTGAGGTCTGCTCTCTAAAACCCATCAAACATTCAACTCTGAAACATTCTGCAGCAAGAGAGGGATGGATGACAGTTTCTTTCACCAATGATAGTACTTTTGAATGAAGTTTATAAGAAAAGTAATTTTTGAAGAGTTTTAAAGTATAATTAAAATCAATGTTATTTAGATATACAAGAGAATGTAGAAATGTATTAATAAATAGAATATATTATTTTTTCCAAAGTATTTAAAGTCTGGGGAAGCCTATACTAAATGAGCTATTATTTATCCTTAAATTTGTTCATCCTCTTTTAAAAAAATGTTAAAGCCTAAGTACACACAGAATTTCTTTAACAACATATCTACAAGATTATGACCCCTTCTATGCACTGTCTGACACCTTCCAGGAGCTCAAAGCATTTGAGCAAATGAGGAGACATACTCTACCTTGCCCTCAGTTCTCATATGAAACTAGTTTCCACTGGCCTTTTCCTCCTATGCCAAATTCCTGCCTTTGTACATGTCTAATGTATGTGGGCATTTGGAGGGTAGAAGCAGAGAAGAAAGAAGAGGAAAGACAGACCCTTTTACAGTGAATCTTTGATTTTCTAGGAAAGCCCCAATTTCAAATATCTTGTTCCACTGTCAGACAACATTATTCTATTAATGCCCTTAAATCTTGTTTGGCAAACATGACCTCCCAGTGTATGATAGTCATAGTTAGAATCTGAACAATTTCAGTATGCTCCTTATGAAATAATATTTATAAAATTCAAATCCTATTTGTTGTTTTAAATAAATATAGAGATTCCTGAGCCTGATTTGCCTATCGGCAAACATCACAACACATTAAAGAAGAAAGTATGAGACCAAAGAAAATATCATAAATTTTAGAATCAAATGGACTGATGTTCAATTTTAAGATCAGGCACTTGTTCTATGGGCTTCAGCTAATATTTAATCTCTGAGCCCCACTTCTCCTAACTATAACATGTGGATACTAATATCTAGTCCATAGAGTTGTGATGAAAATTCAATAATATACATAAATTGCCTTGAACACTGCTTAGTACTCAATACATGCTCAATAACTGCTACATTCTTTCATTCAATTTATTTATTCATTCAATGTATCTGAATACGAACAACAGACTTTAAAATTTCTCAATAACGTCAAAAGGCAAAGAGCTGAATTATGCCTAGTCAAGCTGTTTTTACCAATCTGAGTTTGTATGGGCTACAGTATCTCAAGTTCAAGAAAGTAACCTCAACAGAAGATAAGTTACTTATGCCCCACTCTAGAAATTGTACAACAAATAGGGTTCTCAAAAACACAAACTGCATTCCCACATACCTTGGTTGGTTCTCCATAGTAAGGTTCTCTCCCCTCTGGTAGGCACTGTCCGCCACCTGGGTTGTAGACCTCTTCACAATTTGCTTCAGCTCCTGCTCCAAGCGCTCTTTAATCGCCTTTACTGTCTCTGGGATCTTCTTCAGTTTGGCCAGCCCCTTGATAAGGATACCCATAAAGAGGGTGCTGTTCTCCTCTGGATCCAATTCTAAATCCTCCTTGACGTCCTGCAGGTTTATCTCCCTCACTGCAAAATAAAATAATAACAACAGATACAGATTCCATTATAAAATCTAAAAACAGCAGTCTGATAAATGGGATGACTGCTTTGATTATTCCCTTAAAGGAATCAAAGAATATTTTTCAAGAAAGTCATTTCTGCATAGAAACTATCCAGGAGTCACAAAATAACAATTATATTCTTCAAATCATACCCATCAGCTAGTAATGAGAGGTAGAAGCAATTAAAAATTAGCAAGTAAATACCCACGGGAAGTTTTCCATAGACTACCACTTCTGCCATGAGTCCGCTGGTTCATGACATTTTCAAAGCATTCACTGTTTCTAAAATGCCATATGTGCTGCTGGGGGAAAATTCTAAAGAGCCAGTTCTTAGCCTTAAGTTCCTATTTATTCATTAGAAGTGATAACCAGCTGGAGAAAAAGACATTATAAATACATGTAGGAGGAAAAAAGGTAAATAAGTTAAAATTATAAACAAATTTAAAAAAAGACAAAGAAAAATAAAGGAAAAACAATATGCACAAGAGAGAAAAGACTTTAAGGAAAAAGTAATGAAGAGATATTTCATAAACACAAAAGAATAACCTCTTATTTTACTTTAAACATATGTCTGCTACAATAACATTATCTATCTGAGACAGATTGTGCTAATTAATAATCCATGTAAGTTTTCTGAGAAAGAATGTTATGTATCAAAAACCTCTGTAGATCTTTAGACTACAGCTTTCATTCAAACCATTTTGAAATGGAAGAAATAACCTAAAACAGTGGTTCTTAGCTCCTGTGGGGTGTTGGGGAGAGAGAGGGACTGGTGATCTTGAGATCTTTGTTATCTACTGAAAGCCATAGGCCTTTCCCTTCAAATAATGCATGTATATGCACAAAATTTCACATATGAATTCAGGGGGTTCACAATTGCCAAAAAGAACAGAAGGTTACAAAACTCTGGCCCAAAATAATAATACTCTCATCTTACAAATGGTTGGATTAAGATATACAAAAGCAAAAGTGAGTACAAGCCTGAAGATGGAGCCTGATAGTCAAAAGTCTTCCCCCATTCTCCCCTGTCCTCCATCCCTCAAAACAAATAGAACGTTTTTAAATTCGTGGTATCCTGATAGAATGAGTGTATTCTTCATTAGTAGACTAAAGCTCAGCTACATTACAAGCCATTCTAAGTTGTTCACCATTGAAATGGTATTAAAATCTACTTAGGGAAGAATAAAAATATCCCAGTAAATGGAGCAAATTCTTGTAACCGCTACATAAAGTCTCTAAAGCCTCTACTTCAGATGACATGGAATCCTCTGTGGGCTATCCTCCTCAGTTTCTTTTCAGGAGTCTCCCAACTTATAACATGCACTTAAGTAGGATTCCAAGAAGATGCTAGAATAGGAAGTATGAAGAATTTCTCTCCCCACCTGGGCAGCAACTGAACTGGCAGATCTGTCTGATGTAACTATTATAGAACTCTGGAGTCAACTGAAAGTTTGCAGCTCTCACAGGAAGGCTTAGATGGTAAAATGCAATAATGTTGGTCAATTACAGCTCTTAGCACTGTAGCAGCTACCCATCCACCCTCCAACCTCCATGTGACTGCAGATGACCGGGTAAAGACACAGGCTTAGAAAAGACCTGAGAAAACCTTAAATTAACACCCAGGCTGATCCTTAGGACAGAGACTACCTATAACACTCAAAACAAAAACAAAACAAACAAAAAACAATAACAACATCAAAAAACAGTAAACCCTGGGAAAGGAAGACAATTTGATTTCCAGAGTGACCACATTATTAGATTCAAAGGTCCAGTTTTCCACAAAAAAATCACAAGGCATACAAAGCACAAGGGAAAACACAGCCCATTCAAGTGGGAAAAAAGAAATCAACAGAAACTGCCCCTAAAAAAAACTTGATGGTAGGTCTACTTAAAAAAAAAACAACTCTTAAGATAAGTGTTTTCAAGATGCTCAAAGAACTAAAAGAAACTGGAGAAAATCAAGAAAATGATGTATGAACAAAATGGCAATATCAATAAAGGATTAGAAAAACTAAAAAGAAACCAAAAAGAAATTCTGAAGTTGAAAAGTATAATAACTGGAACAATAAATTCACTAGAGGGATTCAAAGGCAGATTTGAGCAGGCAGAATTTAAAAACCAGCCAATATTATTATCCTAATAAAAATATTCAAGTCTCAAGAACAGAAAAAAAAAAAAAAAAAAAAAACAGAAGAAAAGTGAACAGAGCCTATAGGACCTGTAGGAGACAATCAAATGGACCAACTTATACATCACATGAGTTCTAGAAAAAGAAGAGAAAGACAAAGTGGCAGAGAGAATATTTAAAGAAATAATAGCAGAAAACTTCCCAAATTTGATGAAGGACATGAATATAACATCCAAGAAGTTCAATAAACTCCAACTAAGAGCAACTCAAAGAAATCTACACCAAGAAATAGTATAATCAAACTTTCAAAAGACAAAGAGAAAATCTTGAAAGTAGTAAGAGAAGTAACCCATTACATACAGGGGTCCTCAATAAGATTATTCACAGATTTCTCATCAGAAATCTTAGAGATCAGAAGGCAGTGGGCTAATTCAAAGTGCTAAAAGAAAAATTACAAACTGTTAACCAAGAATCTTATATCCAAGAAAACTGTCCCTCAAAAGTGAGGGGGAAATTAAGGCATTCTCAGATAAACCAAAGCTAAGTAAGTTCATTACCACCAGACCTTCCCAGAAACAAATGTTCAAGAAAGTCCCACAAGTTAAAATGAAAAAACACTAGATAATAACTAAAAGCCATATGGAGAAATAATGACCTCTATAAATGTAAAAACCTAGGCAATTGTAAATGCCAGTAGTACTGTAACAATGGTTTGTAACTGCACTTTTTGTTTTCTACATGATTTAAAAGACAAACATTTTTCAAACAAAATTATTAGCCTAAAAGTTGCTATTGCTATAACTTTGGTTTGTAAATCCACATTTTGTTTTCCATATAATTTAAGAGGCTAACGCACTTAAAAGAATTAATTATTAGTTTATGTTTTGGGGTATGCAACATATAAAGTTGTAATTTCTCTGATATCAGCAACTAAAACCAATGGGGACACAGCTGTTAAAGGAGTAGAGTTTTTGTATGTTATTGAAGTTAAGCTGGCATAAATTCAAGTTAGAGTGTTATAACTTTAGGATTTTAAATGTAATCCCCACAGTAACCGCTAAGAAAATTGTCATACTATGTATACCAACAGAAAAATGAGAAAGGAATTTGAATTTTTCACTCTAAAAAAACAACTATACACAAAATAATACAGTAATGCAGCATATGAGGGGCAAAAAACCATAAGCCATATAGAAAATAGCAAAATGACAGAAATAAGTATCTCCTTACCAGCAATTACTTTAAATGTAAATGGACTAAACTCTCCAATTAGACAGAGGCTGTCAGAATGATTAAAGAAAATCATGATTCAACTATAAGCCTATTTGTGTGTTTGTAGATAGCATAAAGTAAAAGGCTGGAAAGAGATATTTCATTAAAAAAGTAGCAAAAAAAGAGCAGGAGTGGCTATACTAATATAAAACAAAATAGACTTTAAATCAAAAAAGGTTATAAGAGACAACAAAGGATATTATATATTAATAAAAGGCTCAATACAGCAAGAAGATATAACAATTACAAAAACTTACATACTTAATGGCAGACTATCAAAATATATAAAGCAAAACCTGGCAGAACTGAAGGCAAAAATAGACAGTTCTTCAATACTTAATCTCAACAATGGATAGGACAACCAGAAAGAAGGAAACAGAGGACATAAACAACACAATAAACCAACTACATCTTCAGACATATACAGAACGTTCTACCCCACAACAGTAGCACATGCACTCTTCTCAAGTGTACCTGTGACATTTTCCAAGATAGACCATATGCTATGACACAAGTTAATTCACAATAGGTTTAAAAAGATAGTCATCATCCAAAGCATCTTCTCTAACCAAATGTGGAGAAAGTTAGACATTAATTCCAGAAATAAAAATGGAAAACTCATAAATTTGTAGAAATTAAAACACTCTTTAAAAACCAGTGGATCAAAGAAGAAATCACAAAGGAAATGAGAAAATTACTTACAGACAAATGAAAATGAAAACACAGCATACCAAAACTTATGAGATGTAGCGGAACCAATGATAAGGGAGAAATTTCTATCTCCCTTATGGGCAAAAGACTTGAATAGACAATTCTCCAAAGAATAATTACAAATAGCCAAAAAGCACATGAAGAGACACTTAACATCACTAATCATTAGGAAAAAGTAAATCAAAACTATGAGACACCATGTTACACCCATTACAATGGCTAGCACCAAAAAAAAAAAAAAAAAAAAAATCAGAAAATAGCAAGTGCTGAGGAGGATTAAGAAACTGGAAGACTTCTGCACTTTGGGATGAGAATGTAAAATGGTGTAGCCATTGTGAAAAACAGTGTTGTGGTTCCTTAAAAACTTAAAAATAGAATTACTATATATCCAGCAATTCTACTTCTTCTAAAAGAATTAAAAGCTGGGTCTTAAAGACATATTTGCACATTCATTTTCATAGTAGTAATTATTCACAATCATTAAAATGTGGAAGCAACCCGGTGTCCACTGACACATGAATATATAAGCAAAATGTGATATATACACACAATGGAATATTATTTAGCTTTAAAAAGGAAGGAAATTCTGACATACGCTAAAACATGAATGAACCTTGAGGACATTATGTGAAGTAAAATAAGCTAATCACAAAAAAGACAAATACTGTATGATCCCACTTATGAGGAACCTAGAGTAGTCAGATTTATAGAGACAGAAAGTAGAACATTAGTTGCCAGGGGCTGATGGGGAAGAGAGAATGGGGCCTTATCGTTTAATGGGTACAGAGCTTCAGTTTTACAAGATGAAAAGTGCTACAGAGATGGATGGTGATAATGGTTGCCCAACACCATGC